AAATTTCTGCTAATAATATAATCTAGAAGTTTTTCATTAAAATTGAGCAAGAGTGGCATAATGGCCACGAGTACAATCTGTGGCCATATATGACAAGAATCATAAACATACTATAAAAGTACACATTCCTCCAGCCACCTGACCAGCTGGCTGTCCTGTGCAGGCTGAGGGAGAAAGGGCAGTGAGAAGGTGCAAGGAGGGAAGAGCAGGAATGACAACATGTGAAAACAAGGGTCCTCAACAACAGCAAGGTTTTCCAAAGCAAGAGTGTCTTCCTGTGAACATGGTGTGGGAATTGCACACAACAGAAACAATATAAGTATGGCAGATGACACTGATTAGACCACTGAATTTGTTGGTGGTTTTTTGTACATTGTAGGAATAAAGTCTTCTATCCTAGAATTAAAGGTAAATTCAGGAAATTATTTGGCTTATGTATGCACCACTTACCAGGACTTTTGGGGCTGATATGCCAGGCAGAGTTTAATGTGCTTGAAATGATTTGAAGATTTATGCATACCACTTAGAGAGGAACAGGTTGAACAAGTACATCCTGGAACGCACAAAGGCTTTACACAACAGCTAATATTTGTTTATTAAAATGAAGTCTGTGCTGTAGTTCTCTTTTATTGCAGCTTCCCAGTCTCGCCATGTGTAATTTCTTTGCCATTTCATCTGCTGCAGTTTCACACAAAAGTCAGGAATCCCTTTGTCTCAATCGCTTTGTCTTGGTCTGTGCACTGAGCAGCATATCCTGTAGCTCCTGCTAGACCAGTGACAAGCTGCACAGTTCCCAATTCCCAAGCAGCTCTGTCCAGCACCACCCAACCTAAGAGCACCAAGTGCTTAAGGGTAGAGACTCTTCCTTGCCCCAGAGGAAGCTCCTCCCTGCAGAGAAGTCCAACAGAACATGTGTGTCTCAGGCCATCAAACAGCACATGTGACATTACCAAGCTGACAAAGACATTGAACCAACCAACATGCACCAAAATCTCTTTTCACAGCTTTCATTGTCCCTTGGCTTCCCATCTCTGTAAGGTGTTTTGAGGGCTACAGCTAATAACAACTGCATATTAACTGACATTGTGTCCTCCAATATGGTGAAATGAAGATCAGCAGCAGAAATACTTTCTTGAAATCATGTCCTTCTCACTTAATGCCTGCATTGTTTGAAATAGTCCATGAAAAGCCTGAAAACAGTCTTCCTGCAGGGATTTTATTTTCCTAGCAAGCCTACTGTATTTGTTCTTTATGCACTGAATTTGGTGGCAATTCATATTTAAAAAATGAAAGTTGTGTTATGGCTCGAACTAAATAAAACAAACTGCCTGCAACAGAAGGCACAACAGCCTTACCACAGTATCACCAACGATGGTGCAAACACAAACTGGGCACCACCTGACAGAGCAGAACATGGAACAGAACACTTGCCAAGATTTCCTTCTTATAGCAGAAGAGGAGATTGCACCTGCTCTACAATTAGCAAACCCATGAAACAAACTTTATCAAAACTAGAGCTCCTAGGTTCTTGTCTGGACCTGTTTTTACATGCGGAAGTTTTACCCAGGTAGCTCCTGGAAGGTCCTTTCCATTCCAGCCTGCTCTCTGGCAGGCCGTTGGGCACTCCCACAGCACCCTGCAGCAGTGTTCCTGCACAGCAGCCCAAGTACTGCTGCAGGCACACCTGCATTGGCTGAGCTGGGCGGACTGATGCAGTTCACATACACAGGCTGAGCCCATGCTGCAGAACTCCTGTTTGCCCACAGACACGGTTTTGCCACACAGTATAGTTGGGTTCCTCTCTTGAAAGGAACAACCCAAGAAAAAATTCAGATATGCTGCAAAATTATCAATACATCGACACATGGGAAAGCCACTCAGATTTCAATGTTTCCTAGTACAACAGAATCATGTGCAAAAGACTCAAAATTTTGTGCCACCAAAAGGTGGGATTGTTGGTATAACGTTACCCTGGTTAAACCTGGTTTTGTTCTATGCTTTTGGGATCCCCATAATGCGGGACTAACATTTAAATTCAAGGTAGATATTACTGAAACCAAAACAATTACATCTGCCCCAGTCCAAGAGGATGAGAAAATTCAATCCCCACAAATTTTTGAAGTTAGACCATGTGATCAAAAATGCAGATCAGCAACAAATGTTGTTTAATCCACCTTGGTTTCTTAAACAAATAGAACTAGTAAGGCAGATTAATATTTCTTTACTTAAACCAATGTGGTCATCATCCTTAAGTGCTTCCCATGCAAGACAGTTAGCTTGGCTACATGGGCAAAGCCCCACTTCTCCAAAAGGAATAAGGAGGATTGTGACTGGAACCACAGGGACCACAGGGAGTTTTAAATTGTACAGATGCTGAAGTACTTGTAAATAACCTGAGCACAACCACAAGTGATTTAAGCAAATTGCAACACCCTCTGTGGTCTTCTCTACCAGTATTAGAAACTAATCAATGGCTCTTATCTGACACATTGCCTCAGTGGGAAAGAATCAATAAGCGAGCTCATAGTTGATCCCAGAGGCACTTGGTGCAAACAAAGGCAAAGGTTCTTTTTCTCTTAGCTACATCTAAGCTCAGTTGTGGATACAATCAACAGCAGCTGCGGCAATTTTTAACAGAAGGGGAAGAAGGCATCTTCACCCACTGAACTTCAAAAAGTAATTTGGAATAATGACTGAATTTGCAAAGGAATTCCAGCCTTGGTGGCATTTAGTCAGTTATAATACCATCAATAGCACAGTACTAATCCATACAGGAACCTCAGTGTCCATCACTCAGTCACTGCACTAGGCCTGAATCATAACTGAACCCTACCCCTGGAGCAAAGGACATAGGCCCACGGGGAATAGCAAACCATCAGTGCTAGCACATGCACTATATGGGAGCAGGGACTCACACCAAAGCCCTGACATTTGTCTGGATCCAGAATAGTGTTTGTCATTTTGAAATCCATCCTGATGAAGCTCATTAATCTGTACTTTATATACTGGAAAACAATGTGCTTATATGAGAACAATTTGTGGCTTCATATTTGTAGATAACCGTATTGTAGATACAGATAATTACTCTAATGCTTGTGTTTGCAATTTCACCAAAATGAATGTGTGGGATTTCAATTATTCAGCTCCTGTCACATTATATCAGCCATTGCAGTATAATTATATACTGATTCAAGATCTGTTGCTCACCTCTGTTGGGATGAATCTCACTTGAGTAAGAAAATTATTATAGCATGATGATCTGCAACAGCTGCTAAAACAAACTCAGAAAAATGGATAAAATACTTTGATTACTGACCATCATGATGTGGAAAGCACACAAGGGTTGGAACAAGTGAAGTGAGACAGAGCACAGGGGTGGTAGGACACTTTTCAGATGGTTACTGTCACTAGAGGGAGTTTAAACTAGATATTTTACCTTGTTGTTCTCGTAATACTTACCCTATTATGTTTTGTCTTAATTGTGGCACTGTATATTTGCATTTGGGAAATCATGAAGCAATTGATTTTCCTGTCAGTCCTGTGATTCCTTTTAGGAAAATATGTGATGGTTCCAAAGTGAGACTTATGATATCTATAAGAAGCATCATAAGTATGAAACTGATGAATAACAGGAACAAAGTTCCAAATAATAAGACAGAGAACAAAGCAGTTAAGCAATGGGAGCAACAGCCACAGGAATGTAGAAAACAGAAAACTGATGTCCTAGGTCCTTGAAGGGGAGGGAATAAAAAGATCACACCCTTCTCATTCAGGACCTTATATGATGGGCCAACAAACCCCCAGGTCTGACTGTTTCTGTGGTGAGAACTTGCCCTTGCCATGAACTTTCCTCATTAGATCATAATTATAACAGTAAAAGCCACATCTCCAGCTCAGCCCCCTCTGCCCACCAAGAGCCCACTGCTCACTAATCACATACCATGACTTCTTGGGACACTATACCTTGAGACTGAAACAGAGAGAAGTTCACAGGAACTTAACCATGGAGTGAAGTAAGATCTGCTTGGCCTGAGACTGTAACCTATAGGTGTGCCTACCTTGGTCTGTCTCCATGCTAGCTCTGACAATTCACCACCCAGTACCCTTTGTACCCCTTTCTGCCTATAACTGTAAACAAATCAAAAACCTCCACTCTGTGTGGGGATCAGTTTCTTGCACACCAAAAGGGTGAAAGAATCAGTTTTGGGACAATACTCTTCTGCAATCACTACTAAAAAAAATAGTCAATTACATTCTGAGTCAGTGGAGCTCCACAACTAACTCCCAACAGCAGGACAGTATTATCCCCTGGCTCTCTATTGTCCCTGCTGTCACTGCAAGCAGGTCATGGCTCAAGGACATCGCCTGGACTCAGATTTACACTCATTCCTCCCCATTTTTAAGCTTGATCCCTCGTGACCCTACTACTGCCAGGCAGTGCTAAGTCTCATACCCCGTTTTACCAAGTCTAAGTCCAAACTGCAGTCATAGAGTTCTCTGCACCTTGGCTCCTCCCGGCTACCTGCCCTCCTATGCCAAGGGTTCAGCTCCAAGTCAGGTACTTCATTTAGCCATTCCAGCCCCAAATAGGTTCAAACAGACTGTTTCCACTCAGCGCTTCTGGACCTCTGCAGAGGAGCTGGGGTTTCTCACAGAAAGAAAAACAAGCCAAAAATACTTCTTTCATTGACAGAAATCCTTCACAGGACTTTGTGAATTACCTGTCATGCAGTAAGCCCCAGGCCTGCATTCAGCATGGAAAACCTCAGGATCACTTGAAAGAAGCCCTATGTCTTTCAGTCATGCTTTCTTAGAATCAAGTTCACATCAGCTTTGCTACCATTAAACTAAGAAAACCCAAAACAATAGAGTTTCCAGTCCCAGTCCTTCACTCAAAACTCACACAGTAAATGAAACTTAGACTTTTTGGCATTGAGTAATTACTACATACCAGGTTAGACAGAAGCCATGATATTGTAATAAATCCCGAGTACATTTAGTAACTCTTCTTATATTTATTGTCAGTAACAGAAACACGGCAAGATACAAAGCACACAGCTTTTGAACACTTCACCACAGTGTGCTAAGTGCTATATAGAATAGAAACTCACTTTTAAGTAAACATAACTATTTTAGTGATTATCTTAACATTTCCGTGGCTGTTGAATAATGTAAATTCTTTTAGGCAATATGAACTTCTCCAAGGTAGGTTGTGGCTTTTGGTGAGCCACTTGTAGTGTTGCTGCATGGATTTTGTGGCTCATCTGTAACATTAAAGGGGAGAGAAAAAAGTTGTGATAGAATACAGATTTTCATCTATTCTCTTTCTAAATTTTATCCTATTAAAGTAGTTTAAAAGGAGCAGTAAAACCTAAACCCACAAAAAGTTCAAGAGATCAATACACAGAACTCATGGTAACTCAATATATTTAGTTATAATTTCCGTTTTCAAAGCAATATTAGTCTAACTACCTTTAGGGAATATTTGAATTTGTGTCTTCCCTTGTTTAGGAGCTCATAGAATAAGCTTCCAAGATAAGGAAAACACAGCAAATAATCAGTATACCAGAGTTAACAGTAAATTGAATCAAATTCTTATTTTCCCATGTTCAAAATCATCATTATTACAATAGCTAACTATCACAGTCTAAAGTAGCAAGGAAGCTTCATATGCTCTGGAAACCAACAGGAGAAGGAAATGGTGGGTCAGAACAGAGGAGATGAGGACAGGTGGAAGAGAAAGAGGATGAGCTGTATCTGTTCTTCGTAAAGTCTAAGCAAAAATTCAAGATTTACAGGCTAAATGTATAAACACAACTGTTGATAAAAGGCTTGTGTTGAAATTATGCAAGTGATGTTTTATTGAGCTCCAAGGATGAGGAAATCTTGTATGCTTCAGAGTCTGAAGTCTGCAAGTGTGTAACAAAGAGATGATAACTGTCAGACTGGATTACCATGCAAACCAAAGAGCTGCTTCTGAAATCAGCTCTTCCAAAGGGCAGGTGTAAGTCTGCACCAACAGCCTAATACGACACAGGATAGGAGCTGTAAGCATGTGATAAACAGAAGGGTCCATTAGCCGCTGTGGGATACAAGATTTTACGGGATCCCGTAATATTCCTAAGGGAGCAGTCAAAAGGTGCTTGCTTGACTGAGTGATGTCAAGCCTCAGATGGAACAGCAAGATCTGGGGCAGCAGTAGGACATGCTGTGCCTGTTGTCTTGGGGATCATTCACAAAGCAGGACACTGGATCACCATCCTGGTGTCCCTTCACCTGCCAGTCATGCCACCCACCTCCCTCAAGCAGCTCTGTATTTTTGCTGGACCCTTATAGAAGTCGGAGTGATTTCCACAGTGGGATAAAGCACTGAAGACAAGGTTTTGCTCTGCACTGCAATCCCAGCTTGGCCAGACACTTAGATGCCACTGGTAATTCTTCCCCATATTTCACTAAAGCTAATGCACCATGCCACTCTACAAGCAGGACACAGCCCGCTGCCTGGCTCTGCTTCTCTGCACAGGTGTGCACAACTACCCAGGGCATGCTGCAGTAAGTAGGAGTGGAACCAGAGTAAGGAGAGAAGGCCAGGTACTTTTTAGCCATCTAGCAGCTCAGCCACACAACCACTACAGAAATAGGTTATCCCAAGAACACTTAGTGGCAAATGAAACACCTGGAACTGCCACACACCAGTTTAAGGAAATTTCACTTTTTAACATTTTTTCATGTTTAGATTTATAAAGAAATCTGACTTTTTCTTTCAGACTTACTTTGTTCAGTGCTTCTGCTACCAAGACACCCATGTTCTGAGGTTTTGCAAAACTGACAATAGCACTGTAAAGCAGAAGAAAAAGGTATTTAGCATTTTCATCTCACAGAAACACACGAGCATTTGTCACTTTCATTTTCCAGACTTAATAGAAAACATTTTGCAAATAAATTTAGGGTTTGGAGCTGAATTTTTTCATCATGTTAAAAACTATGTAATATCAAAAAAAGCATGCTGTTTCAGAATGGAACAACAGAAAATCTATGACAGGCTGTTTTATTTAGATATACAAAAAACTGTATATGAATTATCCTTGAATATCTCAAAAAGGATTTTTTTTTTTGTACACTGTGAAATAACTTGTCAGAAGCTGAGCGGTTATATCCTGATTTACAAAACATTTTCTTGATTCCAATCTAGACCCATGAAAAAAATTCACCCTCTGCTTTTGGAGAGTTTCCTTTCACAGCAACTATTTACCAAGCAAGAACTCTTTTTTTCCCCAAGATTATCCTATTAACTTCTCCATATTCCAATGAATAACACCATGTTGCCAATATTCCACAAATAAACAAATCTGTGGATATGAAATAATTTACTTCAGCAATAGGAAGAACTCCAGAATCAGAACATTCTTCTGATGATACCATTATATCCACTGACACATCTGTAGCTTAAAACGGAGTAGGGAAAAATAATTTTAAATCCCAAATACCATAAATGTGACTCTTGAAAAAGCAGATATTGTTTTAGTTAAGTTAATAATTCTGTGGATTAGGCAAGATGCTTCTTACTGATATTTCAATTTAGCAATTGACAGTTTGCTACACTGACAAATATAAGTTATTTAAGATCTGTTTATATTATTAGGTAACTATGACTATGGGGAAGACAGCTGCAAAATTACACCCAGACAACTGGCAACAAGTGAAAATAAAAAGCTTCTAATCCCAGTAGAAAACAACAAAAAATCAAAAATTTCAGGAACATGACAAGCCATTCAAATTTTACTGTCATATTCTTATATTGCTTAACTTAACTTTTTGTTAAGTGACATTTAAGAAAAGTGCATGTATTTAGGAAAAATGTTCAGTGTTTGAAAAAGCTGCAAGAAAATACTTGTTTTAATAACCACATCAACTGGTTGCTGTTACTTTTTTCAAAATAGAAGTATGCCTTCATTTTTAGGGCAAACCAGCTTGGTTAACCTTGTAAAGTAGCAAACAGCAAAAGCCAATTTAGATTTTAGATTGAAATAGGAGGCATAGCCTATACAGGAGATAAGACTCTTCCCTGGGGGTAGTTGATGTGGGTTTAATTTCCTTCAGAATGTGGACAATCTAAAGTTCATTCTTACTTCACCGGAAACTGTTTGACCATTCCTTTATTAGGCACAGGTATGCAATACATTGTTTTAATTTCTGTTCCATAAAACATGACAAGAGAGATGAGATTCAGCCTTCGCCTTTCGTTGCAAGGCATTATCCTTGGGTTCTGAAGTTGTTGGGTTTGGGGGTTTATAAGTCAATACTTATTTCAATATCTGTATTTATTTTATCTACACATTGCACAAGATAATTTAAGAATTAAACTCTTGTAGAATAAGAGTTTTCTTTGTTTTCAAAGATCATTACTTATCAACTTGGACTACAGGGCAGGGGTAAACAGGCCCTGCATTGTAATACCTTGACTTTTCTTTTCCTAGAAGTTTAGCATTTTTCTCAACAGGTCCGTTTTCTTGCTTTTTAGACACTCTCATACCTCCAGCTTTAACTGCAAGAAGAAAGTAAAATGTAAGTAAAAATACTTACAGAACTACATACCACATTACATACACAAGGAGAGAGTATTTTTATCCCGGATAACCATTAACCAGAAATCATCTTTCAGTAATTAGCTCCATGCTTTCCTTGTACACACACAAACACAGGAGTAGCCAAAGAGATGCAGCAAAGGCTTCAAAATTCTGTGTCACAGCAGACTCAAATCAGCTTCCAGATACCATAAATCGAGAAATCAGAGCAGTTTCAGGCACCACTAACTGTATTAAACCTTAACACCTTACTATGCTACTATGCATTCTTCCCCAGAAACTATTACATCAGAGATTTGTATTTTAAAAACAAAAAAAAGAAAACCAAACCACCATCTGAACACTTTCAGGTTTTTGAACAATGTGACTAACAGCAATAAGGGTTTCATGATCAGTTCAGGGTATGCCAGAATAAATTTAATAACGCAGATAAGAACCAGATGTATACTCATCTTGTTCTTGTGTTCCAACATGTTTAATTATATTTTATTAACATACCTGCCAATCACAAAACCAATTAGTACTAATTAAGCTACATGTGACTTAACAACAGCAATTTAATTTCTGAGGCATGTTTGAAAATTGAATTCTGAACAAAGAACACATTAAGTTATCTAAAACATTCTGTTGAAAGAAATACTTTCTCCCTCTTCAGGAGAACATTTTAAGTTTTAAAACTGTAAGTAAGAAAGAACAACCTTAGTGTTCTTTTCTCATTCTATTGAGCAAGTTGCTTCACTTCTCAGCAAGACTGTTATACTGATCGTGAACAATCAAGGCTAGAGTTTAAATCTGAGGGAGGGAGAGAATAGGGAAAGGTTTCTAGAATTACTCAACTAGCTAGCATGAGGAAAAAACCCAAACCAAATATCAACAACAAACCAGGCCACCCAAAAAAAGCCCTGGCATCTTACAGGATCTCAGAGATCTTCCTGACATCATTTTTCTTTTATATAAGTTCATCCAGAACACCAACAAAAGTTATGTTCTCCCACAGATTGTTAGGCTCTTGTCTTGTTAGGAACCAGTCAAACGACAAACAGGAAATCTACTAAAATTTTGGAATTAGGTAAAAAAAAAAAAAAAAAAGGTAACTGAATCTAGACCTGCAATTTTTGGTTTAGGACTTTCCCTCACATGCAGGATTGGCAATTTCTAGATAAAAGCATTGTTTTTAGTTTTAATTTAGGAGGGCAAGGAGATCCAGACAGAGGCAGACATTTTAACACTTTACACAAAGCACAAGGGGAGCCAGGCGAGGTGGAGAGAAATATCCAGCGTGGGAAGAGATACTGAAATACGGACAGTCTGGAATTGTGTCTATTACCAATAGGCCCACAAAACAATGTTATCTATAGTGATTAAAAACAACCCGTCTTCCTTTCCACCTCTGCACTGACTTGAAACTAGCCTCTAGGAACAGCTGTCCCAACTGCTCACACACATCCATGGTGGAGGAAAAGCTAAACATAGATGCATCTGGGATGCACCATGAAGCTGTTTTGTAATTTGCTTTCCAAAGCAAGAGAGAGGTATGTCAAACTTTTAATACAGAGTTCAATTTTTTGATTTTTATAAGTGACCTGTTAGCCATGTAATCTACCAGTTAAGTGACAAAACCTTTACTAATTTCCATTTTTAAAATACCATGTATTTTTCAAATAAAACAAGAAAGTAAGAAGTCATACTCCCTTTTATGCTCTCCTCTCAAAAAAAAAAACCCACGAACAAAGAAACAACATAAAAACAAACCCAAGTGAAAACAAAGACAGCTTGGCTGAATACTGGTCAGAAAAACCACTTTGCTACTTCCACCCCTCGGCCAAGCTGCTCCCCACTGCAGTCACTCATAAGCTTCACCAAGACTTACTTGCAGACATGCAAGTCTACAAGTTGCAGTTTATTATCATGCAAGTTCATAAAGACCAGTAACTGCTTCAGGTCACTGACTGCAGTGGTTTGAAGACCCTTTCAGGTACAGCTCAACTTCCCTGCCACACACACAAAAGTCCAGGAATGGACTAGAGACAAGATGAAAAAAAAAAAATTTACATCCCAAATTCATGGAAAAGCATACTAAAAAAACCACTCCAAACAAAAGAATATTTCCAAGAAAACCAAACAGTTTATGGGATACAGGGAGACACACAAGTATGTGCTCCTCAGGCACTAACTGCTCCTAATAAACCGAGGGGAAGTCCCAACTGGTTTAAAGCCTTGTAGTGACGGTTCCTCAAGTATCAAAGGCTGAGCCTGCAGTGACGGTCCCCCAGCTCCGAAGGCTGAGCCTGCAGCATCTCTGCGGGTGCCCCAGAACAGCGGGACACACTCACGCACTGGGGTGTCTGAGAGACAGCCCCGCACAGCTCCCGGGACGGCCCACGAGCTTCTCACGCTGTATGCATTTACACGCTCCCCTAACAAACACAGGCGCTACTACACTCGCCACTACATCCGTAAAATCCCGGTACTACATCCTTAGAGCGGCCACACAGGCAGAGCGGCGGCTGGAACAGCAGGCTGGAAGGCTTCCTCACAGAGAGATCTATCTCTGTGAGGCGGGAAGGGGGGCTTGGTGGAGGGGAAGTTAATTCTTTACGTTACTACAGGAGGCGAGGGATACGGCTGTAACATTAAACACAGATATTTCATTGAACATGGACACCCGTTTTTCTCGCTATCCCTCAATAACACGTTCCTGATCACCGAGCGGCGCCAGCCGCAACCCGCCGACCGAGCGCACCCGTGAAGGGGCGGCGGCTGCGGGACCGGCTGGGGAGAGCGCACCATAGACATGCCTCCACCCTTCCCGGTCCCACATGGCCGCTCCTCTCCGCCGAGGAGCTGCATCCGTGTGGGACGGCGCGGCGGGAGAGCCCCTCACACCGGCCCGGAGCGGCCCCGGCCCCTACCTGCGGGAGGGCGCCGGCCCGGCGGCACGCCCCTCCTCAGCGCCATGGGGGAACCGGGAGCGCCGGGAGCCAAGCGGGCTAGGGCAGGGCAGGACCGCGGAACCGCGCAGGAAAACGCGCACCGAGCCGAGCGGCAGCGCCTTCTGCGGTTCGGAGCGATTGGGGTGGGGCGGGATCGTGAGAGCAGGGAGCGGTCTGAGGGGCGGTACGAAGTCGATAGTGAGGGGCGGGAAGAGGTGTGAGGGGCGGTGAGAGGCGGGGAGCGGCGTGAGGGGTGGAGAGCAGTGCAGAGCGGTGTTAGAGGCAGGGAGCGGTGTGAGGGGCGGTACGAAGTCGATAGTGAGGGGCGGGAAGCACTGTGAAGGGAGGTGAGAGGCAGAGAGCGGTGTGAGGGCGGTTGTGAGAGGCGGGGAGCGGCGTGAGGGGCGGTACGAAGTCGATAATGAAGGCGGGCAGCGGTGTGAGGGGAGATGAGAATGGCTGGGAGCGGCGTGAGGGGCAGTGTGAGGGGCGATGTGACAGGCAGGGAGCGGTGTGAGAGGCGGTACGAAGTCGATAATGAGGACGGGCAGTGGTGTGAGAGGCGGGGACTTTTAAAAACATTGCTAAGGATTCAAAGAACTTGATTTAGCGAGGTAAATCTTACCCTCTTCAATCGGTAGTATCTGGATGAGACAAGCAAAACATTGTCATTCATGTGCCCTACTTTAAAACGACTTTAAAGAACATTGACGTTTCACACAACATATTAGAAACACAAAACCTGAAAGTAGATACAGCTAATCTGGAATTATTTACTGCATAAACTCCTCAACATTTTTATTTTCGGTATTTAAAATGACCAAGTAAGAAATTAAGGAATTATCTTTCAATGTTTACCATCTCTGTAGTAAATTATACTGTGGATGAAGAAATCCTGGTCACAAAGGCCGTCAGTTTCCGGAAGCTGTCCGTGGCTGTAACATTCTGTATCACTGCGCTGGTGCCCCGGTCCCTGGCGGGACGGGGCAGGCGGCGGCAGAAGGTGCATCCCGAGGCGTTCTTAGTTGTTCCGAAGGGACGCGTGCGTGCCCCGGGAGGAGAGCGGAGAGAGCGCCCGAGCACTGCGGCACTGCTCCCCGCTGCCGCGGTGCCCGCTGGCTGCAGGAGCCGGCTGCGGGCACGCTGCTCACGGTGCCTGCCTCGGGGAGGGCGGCCCTGCCCGCGCTGCCGTGGGCTTGGCTGGGCTGGTCTGCAGGCAGCTGCTGGGACCGTAATGCATAATGTCAGAAAGATTTTCTTAGATTGCTGTAAACGTGTTCTGCTTTGCTGTGCTAAAGCATTTCATCACAAAAATTTGCTCTTTTAGGAATTCGGAAAGCAAAACACGAAAGAAGAAAAGAATTGTTAGTCTCGTGATTTACTTGGAATTGTCTTATTATTGGATCTCAATGATTAAAAAAAAAAAGGAGAGCGAGAATGCAAAAATAGGATGTAATTAAGTGGAATCTGAAGAAGAGGGAAATGAAATTTAAAAAATGGAAGAGAAAACAGACTAAGAAACCAGTAGGTATTTATAGCACAACAACCACCTTATCACTGACTACTGTTGGCTTGGATCTTTAAAGCAGAAAAAATGAAAGGACATCCAATCTAAATCAGATATCTCAGATATTTAATTCCATATGTATGAGGCAGAAAATTGTTTTGAAATGCAGCAATTTTCTCCCGAGAAAAACAACTTTGCAAATATTGAAGTAGATAGCACTGCATGTCTCTGCCCATAAGCATTTAGCCTGAAGTGGATGATGGCAGTTTTGATTGGGGAAATAAATTCTTTCAGGTAAAATGATCAGCAGGAGAGAGAACAAAAGAACCCTACCCTGAAGTACTTAGCCAGTAGTAAGGGGTTTTGATATTCACGTTACTCTGCCTCAGCAGAGAAGTACCAATTTTTTCAGTTTCTTTTCCTGAGCTGTTTGTTACTGCACAGATTGGAGAGGTGAAGTTTCATTACTTACCACATAAGGCAGTCATGTAGTACAGCTTTGGTGTGCTGCCTAAAGCATTAATAATTATAAGGTTTAGTGCCATTGTACATCTGTTTTAGGAATTCTTGGGACAAGCATGGGAACTTGGTTTAAATAAGAAATTGTAAGTTCATGTTGACTTCTTACCATATTAAATATAATATACTATTTCTTTTTAAATTTTTTCTTCCACCCTCTTTACTTCATTTCCTTTGTCACTTGGTATTCTTTAAACCAGAAGCTGTTGTGAATTAAAACCATATTTATAAAGTACTTTTTGGAGCACCTTATTCTTGACAGGCAGCCTTTGGCACTACCTCAACAATGCCACTGTGACAGCTTAGATTTTTAAACCTGATTTTATGTAACAATTTCATTTATTTAGACTTTTTTCCTGTTTTCATTTAGACTTTTTATCTGTTGGAAATTATTAGACTGGTTTGTCTGGGTGAGAAGAATCAGCAAGAGAATAATCCTTCTGTGGCCATGGGCTAGTGCAGTTGAAATCTCTTGCCTTTCCTGCCATCCTCAGTCCCATTTCCCGATCACATAAATACCAAACTTCAGAGATCTTCATCTGATGCTGGGGATAGATTTATTGTAATGATAGTAATTTGTGAATGACTGAATTAAAAATGAGTTTATATTGTAATGGTTCTATGTATTTTCAGAATGTGGTGTTTTTTCCATAACAGAGGCAGATGTGGGAAAGCCTGGGGGCAGACACAGAATTTTAACTGTGATAAAGAGACAGTAGCCATTTAAATTTTCCTGAGTGGTGCTCTCAGCATTCTGGAACTCTTCCTATTTCCTGGAAATTTTTCCTTTAAAATCAGTGCTCTACAGGCAAGTTATTAGCTGATTACAAAGTTTGAAAAGTCACTTGGCAGGAGCACAAATCACTATGCTCCCTAGCAGACTGTCTGTTCTAATCCAGCTAACAGCTATTAGCATAATTATACACCAGTGTCTTGGGGTGACAACCAGACCTAGCCTACATCTAAAACAAGCAGTTAGCATGCAGACATATGGAATACCTTCCTCATGTGTCATATTTTAAATCACATCTCTCTGTTGTTAAGATCTATTGCTAATGTCTCTGCAGTATTTTCCCTTCTCTGTCTTATTTCCAGTGTACCTTGTTTCCAAATGTCAGAAGTACTAAATTGTGGCTACTGATACAAACTGACACTGGTTTTATATCTGGAAACTGATTGGTGAAATACTACTGCTGTTTTCTTAAACTCAGTGACAGGTAGGCAGTACTTTTTTCAGATGAGTCAATATAGCTGATTTTAGATGCTTCAGGAGCCCAATAGAGACAACAAATATTCTGGGGCAGGTATATATATATATTTTTTAAATGTTTATCATGCTTTAATTTCTCCCACCCTTGGTTTTATTTTCTGTTTTATAGTAGTTCAGCACAAAGTTAATAATGTTACAGAGATCATTTGTGTTAAGTGTCTAAAGCAAGGAGAAATGAAGGCAGACATATTTTCAGTGGGTTTGTATTGATAGAAATGTTCACTAGTGCATATAATATGTATTTGATAAAATCTGGAGGATAGGTCTGGCTTCACATCTGTAAAGCTTGCCTGTTTCTTGTAGGAAACCTGACCAGTTTAGGCCTTGGTTCTGATCTGGATGCTGGTTGTTTCTCAGACTACACGAGAAAAAGCAGTCTCCAGGCTGGAAGGTAAAGGACAACATCATTAAGCAGAGGACCCTTACTAGCTAATTTTAATTATAGATTTATTTTTTTCTTTTCCCCACAGAAGGACTAAAAAGATATACCTTTGTCATCACATGTTTTATCCACCTAAGTACCCATGTTTAAAACAGTATTCCTGGCAGTGGAACAAATGAATGAATTCTAAAGAACTAGGTTGCCATACACAGACAGAGGCCTTTGGAATTTCATCCTAATGGAGATTAGTTTCTTCTCAGAGCGCGATTACGTTTTGCCAGGCAGATAGTTCATTTCACAATCTTTCTGACTTTGAGAGCTAGCTGAAAATTAGCACATTGCATATCCTGCTACTTGTCTTATTCTTTTACACACTATTCATGTAACGTTGGATGGAGCAGGTGGTGATGTGTCATACAATAGAACGGTGTGTGTAAAGGTGTTTGCTAACATCTGGGGTGCCCTGAAGCACTAAGGAGATATGGTGCCTAGTATCATCGGCCTGCTCTGACTAGCGCTGGTCAGTGAACCAGCTGACCCTGAGAAGCTGATCCAGCCCTTTGGATGTCTGCAGAAATGCCACTGCTGCAGTCTCCCAAAGGGACGCTGTCTTTGTTTTACACAGCACTAACAAGTTCTACTGGTGTGACAGTGAGTGTACTACGGCTGCACACTAAATCTTCAGTGACATGGCCCATACAAACAACACAACAGTTGCCCCTCTTCTGTGGAATGTAGTTAAAAGAGAGTGAAATTGAAAAATAGAGGAATTAATCACATTGAGACAAGCTCTGCAGGGGGATATGAGAACAAGTATCAGAACAGGAATACTAACTGGAGTTTTAAAAGGAGAATACCACAGTTTCTTCAGAGATACCATCACACATACCTGTCCATTCCATTGTTGAACATATGTTGTACTGAGTTTTGGTTCTCCTTCCATGTTCATAGCATTTCTTTCTGTTCAAACCATATGAAAAGCTAATTCAACTCCTACACATTATTTAAATATTCAGGGACTGCTGACACAGAATGAGGGCAGGCAAGTTCATGTGGACAACTGAAATGTTGCTTGTAGCCCTTCCAAACAACTCAGGACGGCAGTGTTCCCTGGGCAGGTGTGCTAGTAAAAGACAAAAAGAGAAAGTTCTTACTCCTGTATTTAGTTTACAAAGTGGGTATAAAAAATGCGACAGGCACGGCAGCAGAATAATCAGCAAGGCCAGGACAGCTGCCTGCCCAACCACCCACAGGCCGCTTGTACGCAGGGCACCATCCAGCCACGGGAAGAAGCAAGGTCAGCCTTCCTTTTTGTCTAGTTGTGATGTAATTACCAACTCTACTCTGAACTAAACATTAACCAAGCCAAATAAATATTACTTTTTTTTTTTATGGGGTAAAAAACTTTAATAAGAGCAAAAAGAAAACTCAGTATTTTTTGAAAATGCATACATTTTAAACTAGTGAATGCCCTGTACGTTTTATCCATCTCAATACAAAATATTTAGTCTCTAATAAAGTAGTGATATCTTTGGATAACAGAACTCACGAATATCACTTTGATGCTAATTGTGAGCAAATGAAGAACCTTTCTGCTGATTTCTGCCTTCCAGGCAGTCACTTTTCCCCGCTCCATGGCAGTGTTTGGAGAGGTTTCCAAGTGGAGCAGCCAGCACTGAGTCCTTCCCTCACCTCTGCCTGATGGCCACAAATGAATCCCTGCACTCTGTGATGGGAAATGAACAACCTTCCAGCATGTCTCAGTGACAGCTTTCCCCTAGTGCCTGCTGTTGTTGACAGCTCCAGGAGTCTACTTGTAATTACAAAGTCATGTTCATCTTGTTTTTCAAAAAGTTTATTCATGTTTATGTTACCTTTTGTGTTAGTCTTTGATACAGTAACTCAAATACAGAATGCACGCTTGAGTACTGTCCTTGGCTGAGATGGATTCTCTTCAGTCTGTTTACTCTGATAGAAAAACTCATCAGCCTTTTCCCAGTGTTCTCAATCCTTCTTCAGGATACTGGAAACCCTGAAAACCCAAGGAAAATGCAATGATGTGGAGCAATAATGTGTCTGTGGTTACAGACAGGGTAGACTGTACAGCACAGGAAAGTTTGTGATTTAGTTACTTAAAATAACCAAACATTTTTATTGGAAAGAAATCCAAGCAGACTGTGGTCAGAATGGAGACCATCATTTCTAGGACAGCAAGGTGAGCTCAATTTCCATGAGAGAGCAAGGGGAGGGGTAGAGGAGTGATGGAAAGAGAACAGGCTAGAGTTCTGAAGTATCTTGGGTTACCAATACCAAAAGTAAAAACACAAGTCTGAGGAATCTTGGTAGGAAGGTGTTGGATTTAGGACTTTGGGCTGCCAGCCTGACACATTCAGGACATTTCCACTGGAGAGCTGGCCCAAATGTTTTGATATGCTTAACCTGCTTAAGAACATGCAATTAGACTTAATTTTCATGGTATTTGTTTCTGAATATCACACAGAGAAAATAATAAGAAAAAAATGAACAGGGAACAGCTTTCCATGGATGAGACTTCCATATTTATTGTTATTCCATGTGCATAGAAAATGGCAGTGATTTCCTTATGAAATAGGCAGGGAATGGGAGAGATGTGGATATACTAGATATACTGGACTAGCTTTGTGCTTCAAAATTACACTATTAATTTTTTAAAATTTGGGTTCTTTTCCTCTTAGAATTCACAACACTTTCTTGGTTTTGGGTTTTTTTTTTTGTGCATGATGTTTCAAATTCCTTTTTCAATGACACACTGCATTACAAATGGATGGCACTTGAGACCAACGTGGCATTTCCATATTTACACCAACAAAAAAATTTACATGACGCAGTAGCATACAATCCTGACATTCAGTAATAGCAATAAAACAAGGGTAGCCATTGGATTTTTTCTGTACAAACTATCAGAACAAGACTTTTATTCACATTAAAAAAATCAGCTTTAATTTGCTCTGACCTACACACTTTCCAAATTCATCATACTCAATTCTCAAACCTTTCATCACATCGCCCACACCCTCACCAGACTACAGGAGCTACAAGTAATGATACCTAACACCTAAGCAGAGCAAAACCATCCCTGCCAGCTTTTTCTCCTGACAATTCCTCACTCAAAAAACACCCCCAAAAAACAAAAACAACAAAAAAACAACCCCAAAACCAAAACCAAGCCCCCAACCACCACCTCCCCCACAAAAAAAAAAAAAAAAATCATCCTTTTTCCTTCTTTTCTTTCACTTTTACATTTCTTAACCAAAACAACACGGGGCCATTCCAGTCCTTCTCAAGCCAGACAAGAAGCATGCTGGGTTTTTCTCTCCGGTGCTACACCCAGGAGTCAGGAGAGCCTGGGTACTGTTCTGCTCGGTAAGAAGATCGTCTGGTGGAATAAAAGTCTACATAATTGGTGGTTGATTTCAGTCCATACTGTGGTGTGTAATCTGAAGTAGCAGGAAAGTGAACTCGATCGTCAAAGTAAGGGTCCTCGTAGCTGTGTGGGGACTGCAGGTACAACCGATAGGCATCATAGTTTTTCCTGGTGCTATCTTCTTGGCTGTAGTACAATTGCTGATGCTGCTGGTAAAATTATATCAAAATAAACTTTCAAAAATGTAATTAGCAGAGAAAATACTTCACCCAAGTGCACCTCTACCCATGACAGTAATGCAGGTTTCAAACCTCCATGAAATGTACACAGGGAAATGGAGGAAATTCCCCTGAGTTTGCTGTGTGTCTCCTCCTACATCACTCGAAGGGAGTAATTCCAAAAGTGCACGACTTTGGAGCTCAGGTACAGTAAGTACAGAACCTGGCCACACCCTCCAAAACCAGCCCAAACCCCACTCAAGTCACAAAAGAAGTCTCAGATCCCACTGTAAGAAGGTGCTGAAACGCGTGACTCCTATGGAAGCAGCCAGGCTGCAGCAGCCCTGAGGCCTTGCGAACCCAGAGCGCTGAGGCAGCGGCTGTGGGAACGGGCTCAGCCCCTCCTGAGAGTCCGGGAAGCAGCACTACCCCAACACAGCTCTGGGCTCACCTGCAGCCGCCGGCTCTGTTCTCTCGCTGGTGAGGAATAGGAACTGATGTAAATTGGTGAAGCTTTGCTGGAACCTGGGAGAAAACATTTTAGTGCATAAACGTCAGTCTTTATTCATTCAGCCGTAAGTCTACTGGTTTTTATCTTGCCTTTCATGTAGTACCCATACTACTAAATCTGCAGATTTCAGTACCTGCCAATGATAGAATGTAATAACAGAATTATGGCAATGTGCCTCAGCAAGGGTTACAGAAAAGCCAGGAGGCTTATGTTGCTGTTTCTCATTTTACAGACTGAAAACCTTTAAAGCAAGGACTTTCCTTCTCTTTAGTCACTATCATCTATTGTTTTGCTACTTGTGTGACACAGAAGAAGGAAAAGAGAGATCAGAGAAAATATGAAATCTTGATATAATTTAGTAATATAATAATAATTTACAACCGCACATTAAAATGTATAACATCATCATTATAATATAATGTATACAATAATACAATTTTCTGTACTAGTATTTTAAACAAAAATAGGAATTCCAACTGCCTCTCACCTCCCAGTATAGAAAGGGATCTGTGTTTACTCTGGTACCGGGCAGTTTTACAGAGAACAGCAGAGGCAGTGACACCCTGCCCTGTGTCACAGCCAGGGAATACAAAGAATGGAAAGGGAAAGCCGCAGCTGGCAGCGACCAGCCCGCTAATGCAGCTGTCTGTGTACGACTGTGAACTCTTCCCACAAGGAACAGTTCCCTTTTCCAGAAGATGCTCAGCTGGTCTCTTACCAGTGTAGATGTCTTTATGTGCAATGACATCGCCCTGGCTACTGTAATACTGCATAGAAGGGTGCGTCCTGTCGTACTCGGAGCGAGGCTCTCTGATTCCCAACAAAGCCGGGGATGAGGACGTGCTGCCAACTGATGGGAAAAGAGAGGTTCTCAAGCTTGACAACAACAGCCTTTTGCACAGCCAGCCTTCCTCAGCACTCCCTGCTTGAAGTGTTCACAGCCAGGGGGTGGGTAAGGACAGAACACCGGAGCTGCTCCTGGGTGAACACCCTAGAGCTGCCAGCAAGGCGCAGTCACTGCTCTGTGATGCTCACAGGCAGACACAAGACCTTGGTGACACTCACAGCCCAGATATGGGACCTTACCGTGCCTAGGACATCACCTGTGTGGAGGCAGAAGATGATACCCTGCTAACGGTGATGGTTTATCTAAGTTACACTTAAACACAGTACTTAAGGCCACCCTGTCACTTGTCCAACCTACCTGGACTCAGTGACCCCTATATACACAGGTGAGCCCTGGGCATGGTGTGCTCTGGGAGGCCAATGGCCATGGGGGGATCCCAGCAAGGGATCACTGAGCCGCTCAATAAGCAGCTGAATCTCAACTGCTGTTGTAAGAAGTTTGTTCTGCTAAATCCTCCCTGGTCTACAGATCCCTTGGGCTTTGTTGGCTCAGAAAGACTCCAGCAATTAGAGTAAAATAGTTAAAACAATTTCTATAAATTTTGCTTAAAAATGTTAGTTCAATGATAACCACTGGTGTGTCTGTTACATCATAGCTCAAAACTCTGTGTTATTATGGATAGTTTAATTACTGGTATTTTCCTGGCTAAATATACCATGTTGTTAAAATTCTGACATGGGTCAACATAATAATGTGTGTTTTAATGATGAAGTGACTGGAACAAGAACAACTGTTTCACTCCAAGCGTATCTGTTCCAACAGGCATCTGCTGTGCTCAGCATGATGCTGTACAGCCCCTCTGGGGATGTGGGCCTTTCACCAACTTCCACTGACTCCCTTGGGCTTGGCTGTCCTCTAGAGCAGAAAAGCAGACACTTCCTTTTAGGAATTTTTACTAAACCCTCTCTGAAATACAACATCTTCTGAATATTAAATTAGAGCTGCTCATCTACTTCCTACTTGTCACTCAAAGAACTGGAGTAACACAGTTGTTCTGCTGGTGTATCCTGGGAGAGAAAGTGCTGAGATAGAAATTTGACAGCTGGCATCTGAATATCTTTTTACACTTGGGTAGAATCCAGTCATTCCCTGAGCGTAAGCTGTACTGGCTTCCTTGGTGAGTGAGAGGAACTCTGGCACAAACAGCACAACAGGTTTACTTCTTGTAGGAAAACAAATCCCTGGTGGAGTCCTTGTTTTTCGAGTCAACCATATTATAAAGGAATGTGTGGGGGTTGTTACTCTTATGTAAAGAAGTAATTAAACAAGAGTGTTGTAGGAATTGGTCACTAATTTTAGCAGTCACAGTAGGTAGGTATTTCTCAGTATTAACAGAGATCTGCTCTAGATAGTCTCTAGAAGAGTAAATTTGGTAAAATAAAATGCCAAATGAAGACAAAATAGAAGGCTTCAGGTATGTTTTGTATCAGCTGTCTTGAAGATCTAAATCCTAGCACTGAACACATTGAAGGAACAATGGTGAGAAATAAACGAGGAAGAGTCAGAAAAGTAATGTTTTTGGGTTTGGTTGCTCATTCTTATGGAACATGGCATAGTTGGGAATGAAAATGAGCTCTTCACTGTGGGTGTGTTGCTGTTCGTGCTGCCAGATCCCCATGTTCAATGAGGCTACTCCACAATGCCCACACAGCGCAGGAGGAGTGGCTTTGAACAGGGCAATGGTTGGTAACAATGTCCAGCTCTATTCATTGAAGATTTCACTTTGCAGGAACAATTCAGGGAGCACTCAGAGCATGTGAAGTGCTTTGCTCAAGCACCAAGGAGCAACAGCCTGACCTCTGTGTTTTAAATGGCATTAGTCCCAAGCTGAGAGGTGTTTGAGTTAAAAACATGGAGCAGCAAGTCCCCTTCACCCTCCCTGACTGACCTGACTGCATGACAGGTGACATCTGCTGATTGGCTGTGGATAGAGAAGGATGGGATTTGAATCTCTCTCGTTCCAGTGTTGATACTGGTGTAATAAAGTGACTTTGATTCCATCCATCCTATGGAGTGGCAAAAAGAAAACCACGTCAGAATAAATTGCAAGTTATAAATAAACTAGGAGTTTTTGTGGCACTGTTTTCTAGTGTAAGCTAATTTTACAATTTACCTTTTTGTAAATGCTCCGGAGGTCTCGGTACTGCCACAACGTGTTCAGTACCTGGGCTGCCGCCTTGACAACCTTCAGTGAGGACCTGAGGAGGTGACGAATATGGCAGTGTTAGAAAGCCACTGAATTCCACTTCAAAAGAACAGCGTTCCTCAGCTTCCTAACAGCCTGAACCTGCTGCTGTGGGGCAAACCAGACCCTGCAACACCAGCGTGAGCACAGCCAACCAGCAGCCTCACCACAGCATGGGGCTCCTGCTGCCCCATGCCCCGCCACAGGGGCCTCCTGCTGCTGACCCAGCACACGCTCACAGATTTCATTGCCACTAGACAACCAGAGAACTTGTCTGATGGCCTCTCCAGAGCCCCGATACAGTAGGCAGGACCAGCTCCCCGCAGCCAGCACTTGCCTGGCAATGCTCTTCAAGGGCTTTCCCCATGCCATGTTCTCTTTCTACTGACCAAAGGGCTGCACTAGGTACAATTCATAGTTGCTGGGATACATCCTGACAAAGGTGCCCACACAGTCTGACTTGGAAAAGCTCCAAATATTTTATTAATCTTGTAGGTGTTGAAGAAGTGACTGGCTAACTCATTGAAAACAGGTCCCATGACCATGGTTACTGTGAGCAGCTGTACAAGCCTTCAGAAGCCTGAGACAGAGAACATTGCCCAAGACAACGCTACCAGTGCCTCCTCCCTCCCAGTGAGACTCCAGCTGACAGCTCCTCAGACCCAGACTGCAAAGGCAGATCTCTTTTTCACCCAAAAAACCATTTCCCGCAAGCATTTTAAATGGACACAAACAGCTCAGGTAGGATCTTTGCTGCCTACTTGCCTGTCACCTCTTCCCTTTGTTATGTTGACCAGCTTCTCTATCCCACCAGTGTCGGCGAGGGCCTTGGCGTTCTCCATGTTCTTGCTGGTGACCTCGTGCAGGGCACAGCAGATTGCAGCCACTGTCTCATCTGACAGGATGCTCGGCCCA